TTTAGTGAATGATAGATGTACTTCTAAAATCTCCTGCTTCATAGTTCAGGGTTAGGAGTACACCATCAACAGTGAACGTTCCATGACGTCTCACTGTCCAAATGAAATAATCAGGTAGTTATATTCAACGAAGGTATTTGCGAGAAAGTATACCGAAAAAACATGAAAGTGTTCAGACAACCAGGCTAAAATCCAAAGTAGCATGTTAGAAACTATCTGTTACTCATTGATTTAGCTGAGTATTTGCATGCTACTGACATCAACCAGGAGTACTTGCTAGCTGGGTTGAATTGATCTAAACACCTAACGGCCCCATTCTGAGCTGATGAGCTCGGCCCTAAACGACTGAAACGGCCCCCAGCGGCTAGCTGTCACTGCTGGTTGGCATGCAACTTCTCATCTCAATCGATCGGTGGTATATAGTTTTATGCATTTAAGCTTGTTTTCTTAATTAACATCCACCATACCAAGCAGATCACATATTTTGATCTGAATAATTTGGGTCTCCAGGGGGAAACGGCAGTGAAATTTTACCTCGACGTGTACACTGCGAATTGTGAATTTGATGTACCAAAAATATTTAGATCATAAAATTTTAGGCTGTCAGCGGAAACTGCTATAAAGTTTCATTTCGAAAGAATAACTGACTGCATTCTGATGTAATCGTTTTGCTTTCAGTGATGAAAAGAATTCAACATGAAATTTTTAACTATTTCGAGGAAGTACTCAGTTTCTCAGGTTTCCTGGTGATCCCCTTCATTGATTTGATCTGCCTTGTCAAGGTAATGCTCATTAATTTTAGTAGCAGTGTGATTCAAGTCAATCGTTTCATTATCAAGAGATTAGAATGTATAATATTGTTAGAGATGATAGCCTGAATAACTCTCAGTCTATAGAAGCAATTTTCAAATTAAACAAAGCTAAAATGTATTCAACAAGGTTTCAACTAAAAATTTTGAATTCAGACTGCTGAATACTATAAACTCTTAAGACTTAGAAGATATTTTTCTCTAATATAAGCAGTCATATACAAAAGTAAAGCAATTTTAAGCAGTCGTTTTGAGTTCTTGCAGTTTTAGTGATCACATTCAAGAGAATTTATACCGGTTAATCTAGTATATGGGCAATTGTATAAACTTATCTGAGCGGGGAATAAGTTTGATTTTTACAACAGATACGATGACTGGTTAGTTGTTGTTAATTCTACATGAATAATTCCAGATAGTGAGGCCCAGTGCTACTCATTATTTTATAAGGAGTTTGCGCGAATATACTTTACCTTTGAACTCTGTCAGTACACCCCACAATTAAATGCTTCTTTCACATCAGAATTTTCTAATTTTAATCCCTTCAAAAGTGTGAATTATCAATTAGGTTGCGCATATATTATTTTGGTGAATTATTAGCCATTACGAAACCAAGATTCAGACAAACCAAATATATTCATTCACACATGTCAAATCTTTCTGTTAACACTTCTGTTAAACACTTCACCTAACCAATCATCCTTTGTTCAAATGTTTGATTGATTGCAAGGTATACTCTATCATGAATGGACATCGGCTATGGTACCACTAAAAACCAAGCAGTAAATAACAGGGATTTCATTCTAGTTTGAGACTTGGTAGGAGTGTATTATCGTGATACAAAATGTTTTAGTTAATCCAATAATCCTTCGAGTCTTTCTGGAGACTGAGGGAGAAGACAGAACGAGTAGTGTCCATCAAGTCAGAAGTGAGAATATATAGTCACTTATTTATTTAATGTTGGTGTCAATTTATAGAGAACTGACAGATACCAAGACTTATAAGGCATTAAAATCTAGTTCACTGGTTGGTGAATAGTATGCTCCACTCTTAATATGCGAATTGTGTACTTGGCACTCAGCTGGATGATGGTAGCCGACTTCCGAAAAATTCTCAACTAATATGAGACAATAATAATAATTTTCAATCTGGTGTCAATACTTAGTGAAATATACATTGGAGTATCAATTTATAGGGATTTTGTTTGATTGGTTTGGAGAATATCATCGTGAGCTGACATCGGTTAGAGAACCACTGAAGAACCTGGGGTTACCCGACAGCTGTTTCGTCCTAGTTTGGGACTCTTCACAATACACTCCCAGAGAGGTTTAATCCAAGGATATTCTGATTATGAGGTGACCTTATCCCTTGAGATTTGAAGGGCATTTTTGTATTGTTAAACTTTAGTGAAATATGCACTATTAGTTGTGGCGACTGTATGAAACAAAACGGTTTCAACTAAATAGCGAAAAATTACAATTTTTCAACAACAAAAAACAAGACAAATAAAAATAGTCCACCATATGTCCAGGAATTTCTCTGCATAAACATAAAATGAAACTCTCAACAAAACACCTGACAGAGGGAAATGGAATGTTGTTAAACTGCTGAAAATTAAAAATATTTGGGTTTTTTTTACAAAAATAGCACCTTTCTGTCTCTCGTTCTCGCTAAATGTAAAAGACAAAAATTTGAAACAATTTGCTTCCAATTAAACGAAATAGCCTTAAACAATCTGTTGATTAAAATTCAGTAGAATCCACTCCATTTTTCACAGTTATAAAAGCTGAAGAAATATGTTTTGCTTCAACCTATCTTATTGTGTACCTAGAAAAAGAAACCAGTGCCTAATTGGTATTCGAGGCAAAAGTCATACTGTGGAAGTAGATTTACTTCTGACAGGTTCCTTTAGACTAAAGTGACCCTTAGCAGTATGTATTCATTTTCTTTTAGAAAACTAAGAAGTATTGAAGAGGTATTTCAGCTTTTTTTTCTAGGTCATCAGTGGCTTACCCTTTTAAGTATTCAGCTGATCATTCTCGTTATTTTATTGCCACTGCGATTGCACAGAAAATCAGCTTCATAACCGATTAGGAAAAGAATAAGAGGATCTCGTATGGGAAAGAAGCGAAAGCTTACAGGAAATCGTGAAGACAGCTGGAAAAGACTTCACATAACAAGATAAAATGAAGTTGTGCTATTGGGACCCTATATTCCACTTGGGACCTGAAGTGAATAATGATAGTATAATAATATTTTCACAGTCATACTTGTTCTACTTATTCATCATAATTTCTCTTTTGATACTATATGAACTGTTACAACTTTTAAAGAGTTATGTGGGAAAAATGTTAAACAAGAGAAGAAATAAACTCATTTCACATTTATGCTGCTTTCATTGTAAAGATGTTGAAATCCTCTGTTACCTGTGAGGTATGCAAGATTGCAGACACAGTTGTATAAGTTACGTTTTACCTCCCACTGATTACTTCAACTGGAAGCTTCGACGATGTTTGAAGATTACCATAATCTTATTCGACTGACTGTGGCTAGCAGAAGAATCCAGAATGTCCATTTATCCTATCTGGGATTTCTAAGTTGCATTCACCACCATTCCTAATGAGTTATACCGTTCTTACTCAGACTCAAGCGCACCAACAACCATCACTTCAAACCGTGCTCCACTAGGCCACTGAAGTACCAGTTAGAAAACCATCACTCATTGAGGATGAGGGCATATTCAACTAACGAGTCCTAAATAGGACGAAATGCGAATCCTGATTTCCACTGTTAGGCATCACTTTTGGGCTATCCGTTTAAATCTCCTTAAATTCACTCATAAAAATACAGCGTCATATTTACTGCATTTCATTTTGTTTTCATCATCTAAAGAAATTTATGTATCGTAATATTTTCAAGACGTTTTCAAACCACTGGTAGGCATATTTTGAAGCTAATGGAAGAAAAACTTCGAACAGTAGTACAGCATGCTTTCGATGGAATAATTTTGCTTCAAGTAATGTATTATCAATTGTTATACTACTTGTTGACCTTGTGCAAGAAGTAAATACCTTGCAATAAAACAAGCTGTACCATGTTTAAAATGAATTTTTCAGAAGAAAGCGGTTATTATTATCAGACGAATCAGTAGATATACTTCTATTACTTACCATCAGTACAAAAGATAATAAAAATATCCTATTTAATTATCTTCAACTAATAAACTCTTTTATCACGATATTATAAATGGATTTATACAAATGAACACAGAAAATAGTCTAAATTCCCAATTTTTTTCACAATATTTGTATTTTTACTAGTTGATCATGGATTGATATCAGTTAGAGAACCATCGAAAACAAGGGAGTACTTGACAGCTACTGTTTCATCCTAGTTTGGGAATCATCGGTAGTACGCATCCAACACAACGGTTCGAACCCAGGACATTCTGGTTACAATGCAAGCTCGTATACCATTCAGCCACTGGGACCCGATTCAATGGCTCATAAATTCTAACTTCTACCAATTTGAGCTTGCCTTGTAACCGGAAGGTCCTGGGTTCGAATCCTAGTGGGTGCGTACTGCCGATGATTCCCAAACTAGGATGAAACAGCTGTCCGGTACTCCCTGCTGGTTTTCAATGGTTCTCCAACTGATATCAATCCGTGATCAACTCGTAAAAACATAGCCAACCCTTACAAACCAAACTATAGAAAATATTTATATCTTTTTAAATATGAACAGATACACTGAACCGTTACTGTACCGTCTGTGTACGCAATGCAGCTTAAGGGAGAATTCAAACTAACTGATAAAAGGTAACTTTAACAGTGTATAAATAAACACTACACTACCGGTGATTTAGGCGTAGAATGCTCACCAACCGTGAACATAGTCTGGGTGGAATCCCCAGCCGACGCACTCCTGAACCTTGCTCAACCGGTAGTAAGTCCGTTAAAGATGGAATGTTGTGCGTAAGACTAGCAAATCCATCTCGCTAAACGGAGAAAAACGTCACTGCAACTAAAACATCACAGATCAAGCTTGCAACTTTATTTTCCATTCGGAAAGAAAATGAAAAATGAAGCGAAACAAATAAATACTACTGAAATAATTATACCAGAAAAAGCTTTGGTTCTAATTATCATCAAAATACTTCAATATATATTATCTCTTAAAGTGCAAAATACTCACCAGAAACTGAATGAAAGCGGAAATTTATTCACGACTGGGAAACTTCTATTGGGATTTCCGTTCACACTTAAAAATCTTTTGATTAAAATTAAATATGTATTGAAGTATGTTTTGTGTTAATTATGTTCACGTCTTCCTTCCTAATTTGTTTCGAATAAAAGCCTGATGTGAGATATAAAATAGATTATTTGTCTTTACACCATTCCATAGATTTCACCGTATTCTATAAAAATACACAATTCACGAATAACTGTATCAGGCTGTGGTGTAATTTTGTTTTTCACTGAGACTTTTTTTTTAATTTCAGACCTGCCCAACCGTCAAAACACAAGATTTGACCATTCATCATTTGAATTTCTGATTGGTTCATTTAGGCATCTTTCCCCACTTTAGGCACATAAATGTATGCACATTTTTGTGTTCACAACACAAGCTTAGTTTATGTGCTTAGATGTCCAGTCATACAGCATTAGGTCACTAGGCCAATTTTCCACATTTTCTTTCTTAGCTATAAAAGCTTTCCACGAAAATCGATAGGCACCATCGATTTTGTCTGTAGTAGGTTTTTTTATTATTAGTGACTAACTGTGTTAGGGAACAATGTTACTGTGTCGTATAAGTTTGTCTAAATCTACTAATTATTTTCTTTTCATTATGACTAATGAAAAAAACTGTCATCAGAAAAAGTACAGCCATAGTGTTTAGCACATTAAAATATGCAGACATTTTTCAGTGAACAGCATGGGCATCCATAAATTAGAGTATATTTCAGACAAAATATAAATATCTACTTTCATCTAGTATTTTAAATTTTAAATATTCTGACAACTTTTAGTACTTATTCCCGGTTAACAGGCACTAAGATTGTATAAATACCATAAAGGAAGGGCAAAAATATGCATCATCCTAGACCTTTTAGAATACGCTTTCATGTGTACGTATTTTCATGGATTAGTCCCGTTCTACCGATAAAAGAGTCACTAAATCAAATAGCACATCTAAACCGCATAATTTCTTTGCCTGTAGATATTAAAATGTGACTGTTATGGAAAGAGACACATGAGGATGTCAAAGGCAGGACCAGGAAGAAAGACAAACCTTCGCCAATGTGAAATAAATATGGAAATCTGCTGCATTCAGCATATAGAACAAGATTCAAATTTCCAACACTGATACCAAGTGAGTGATTCTATACACTTTAGAGACTAGGCACTTTACGGAAACCATTTCCAACAGGTTTCTGCCACATTTCATCGACAGCTGCCTTCATTTAGTACTAAAGATCAGATGGCCGAAAAGGAAGCATAAACAACAAGGAACTCTATAATACAGCGAACTGCCTAAGAAACAGTCGCTCATAGAATAAATAGAAGGAAATGAAAATGAGTTGGACATACTCTGAGGAGCCCATTGGGTGACGTTACTCGCCAGTCAGGCCCTCGAGTGGAACATGAATAGGGAAAGACGAGTTGGAGTTGGGCCTGAGGTTGAAATGGAGCAGGTCATATTAGGAGGAAGTGAAAGGCTGCTGTGAATGGTGGATCCTGCTGGAGATGACTACAGAGAACAAGACGAAATGTAAACGTACTGCTGGATCCTTGTGATCCATTCAAAATCCGAGGGGATAATAAGTATATTAATTGACATTTCGAGTTTGTCTATTACAAATAAAGATTGGTACTTGGTTTCAAAAGAACAGGAAGCTCAGCCTTGATATGGTTTTGGTAATTTCATCCTCAAAGGCTGTACAATTGCATTTATATACTTTATTTCACATAGATACATCAATTATTTAATTCAACATAACGTAGAAACATTACGGCTGATAACAATTTTCAACTTGATATGAAAGACTGAAGGTGTGAATATGGATTACAAGGGGCTTAGAAAGAAAGTTGGAAACACACTGGCTTGGGCAGATTTCTGTTTACTTTGTAAATAACTGTGAATGATGAGTCAGTTTATATGCTGTGGCGGTTAATGACGGAGTGTTCATCTATGGCGCTTCTAATTTACATATAACATAACTATTTTCAAATCCTGTGTAGTTTTGTTTCTAAGCCCCTTGTAATCCATATTCACACCTTCAGTCTTTCATATCAAGTTGAAAATTGTTATCAGCCGTAATGTTTCTCCGTTATGTTGAATTAAATAATTGATGTATCTACGTACAGTAAAGTAATATAAATGCGACTGTACAGCTTTTGAGGATGAAATTACCAAAACCATATCCGGGCTGAGCTTCCTGCTCTTTTCTGTCTAATGTTCTGATGGGTATTTTTCATTATTTGACTCTTAGTTCTCGAATGCCTACCAGTACGTTGTATTCGCACTCAAGGCGTAACATAATTCACTTCGAAATTGCTATGCAAGGTCACTGATATTAAAAAATCAGTGTAAATGTTGTGAATGACTATCGGCATAACTGGCTTATATGTTTAAATGCATCTCAACTTTCTATTCGAAATGAATCTGTAAGCAAACTGTAGACGTGAAAATGAAATCAGAGGTAAACAATCCGTTTAGAAGTAGGAAAATTATTTCATTGTAACATATACAAACACTTCAGAAGATGGAAAGAGGGAGAGATTACTAATCTTATTCTAACAGAGCAATCTTTTTCAATAGTTGATTTGTAAGGATTACATTCCTTTTTTACAAGTTGATCGCAGATTAATATCAGTTAGAGAACTATTGAATTCTAACTTCTAACTTCATAGGCCATTGAAGTGGGTCCCAGTGGCTGAATGGTATACGAGCTTGCCTTGTAACCGGAAGGTCCTGAGTTCGGACCCTGGTGTATGGGTGTGTACTGCCGGTGATTCTAAAACTAGGATGAAACAGCTGTCCAGTGCTCCCTGGTTTTCCATGGTTCTCTAACTGATATCAATCCGTGGTCAAACTCATATCAAAAAATCTAATCCTTACAAACCAACTCTTGAAATATTTTATTTGTATCATCATTTTTGTCACCACCCGATTCAGATAACTGATTAGGATGCTTAATTCTTCACTTCACAATTTACTCTCTTAGTGCTGTCACTGAGCTTGGAGCGTAATCTCACATTATATAAGGAATATTATGTATTCGGGAATTATATTAGATCCCGACTGACGTAGACCAAAGACTCACATGGATGTTAGTAGAGTTAAAAAGAAATGTTTAGAAGTGAGGTCAAAAACCCCCAACTAGTGAAATAGGACCACCGCTAATGAAACTTCAAACAGATTTGAAGCCCTTTGTGCTTCACTTGAAACTCGAAGGAGATGAAAAAACCACTTCCTGTAAAATTTCGTACGAAACACAGTTTATGATAAGTCGTGAAATGCACCGACATCATTTTCCAATTCTTTGTTTATTCTCCCTGACTTTGGTTATGAGGGCGACTAAGTGAGTGCACAGAACCACAGTTTGAAAAGTCTATTACTAGTTTTGTTCCAAAAGCTTCACATTAAGTGTTTTCCAGATATTCAACTCATGGTGAATTATCTCCTTAGTTTCCTTTAAGGAGCAGTGGTTTCAACCTTACATTTGTTGTATATTCGCACCATGAACAGTATCTTGTGAAACAAGCAAAGAAAATCCCTTTCCACGTACCAACATGCTGGAATGATGTCGACCTAAAATCAGGTATAATACTGAACATTAATTGCTTGTTCACTTGGAAGTAACCAATGGAGCTTCTCTAGTCCATAGTGTTGGAAGGATTTCCACCTGGCTTCTGGTGGGAAGTCGTGACCAGTGGGATACAGCAGGTCGAGTGTGAGGACAAATACTCGCCGATGACATTCTCTGGTGCTCGCGGCATATCGTTAATTGGCAGAAGTTGGAATGCGTGAACCACTGGATCATGTACCAGTGGCCTAATGGTCTACGAGCTTACCTTGTAACCGGAAGACCCTGAGTTTGAGCCCCTGTGGATGAGTACTGATGAAGGGTCCCAAACTAGGGAGAAATAGCTATCCAGTACTCCCAGGTTTTCCAATGGTTCGTTAACCGATATCAGTTCACGATGAAATCCTGAAATCTACCAGTTACGTTTGCAATTTTGTCACCAGACTAGGTGATTCGCCATCACGATTTCCTTCGAACTGGTATTACATGTTTGGAAGTAACTACCACGAAGACGTGGTCTTAGGGCGTCGTGTTTATCGTCCATTGATGCCTCTATGTACCATGCTGAAACAGCTGGAGAATTTTCAAGTCATTAAGACGATTCAACATTCTGGATAGAATCAAATGAAATACAGATTTGAGAATACGATCACTAGGTATTTTAGGTCACTATCACTCAACGACAGTGAATCAATGACACTTTATAGCACTTTGCATTAACTTCATTAATAAGAAATATATTTCATGTCTCTGAATTTCCGTTTCTTATAATTAATGAAAAAGTATTTGGCTTAAGTCTTTCTGCTTTCTTATTTTTCGTAACAATAAACTTAATCAGCTTGTCGGTTCATTCCACAGAATTCATTTATTTAACTGCTATTCATCTGGCATCCTCGTTTCTCTCCAGCAAAACGTTTCCTGCCGGGGAAAATTTTCTTTGCCCACGAAGTCGTCCTTAGAGGTTATACAACTGCATCTTTGTCTACCGAAAAGTACAGCAGTCTATAACTGAGTAATGCATAATTGATAAATTTGCTCAAAAGTGGTTTCTAAAGACAGCAAGAAATTGTGTATTAATTATTGGCATGCTGGAAGCATTGGTTTGAAATTCTATTCGGTGAAAATTGTTGTTAGATGAGAAGTTAGGTGGTTGAGTATCCACTTGGCAAGTAAGAGGAAGCTGAGAGAGAAACGAAAGCTAAGAAAATACACAGAAGTGACATGTAAGAGCTGTAGTAGCTGATTAATTACTAAAAGTAGACGTAAACGAGTAGAAAGGAATTCAAAGCCGTGGCAGAACAATAGACCACACAAAACTTTTCTGTGCACACAGAGTTCAGGGTTATGTGGATGGATCACTAGCGCCTGCAGCAAAAACGAGTACTGAGACCTAATAACCTTTGTACCATTCACCCTTAATTTATAGATACTTTTAAAAGAGAGCTGTATTAACTGAGTTCATCAGGTGCTTGGGAACGGAGCTAGTGAATGACTTACACCGTCCTGCTTGAAACCATGCTGGAGAATATTCTGGGATGTTTTTGGAAAATATGCTCATTAAGCAGCCAATATAATTAACTTTACAGGAGAAAGTAAAGCCAAAAACCAATCAAAAATCATTTTCTCTCTCGGTTAAAATTAAGATCAATTTGGACTATAAGGCAGCTC